TATTATTCATAGCTTCTCTTTTGATAACCCCATTATTATTGATATTTTTAAAATATACATTATTTTATTATTTACAACTCCAGCATTATTAATTTTATTTTATTTTTTTATCACAATATCCTCTATAAAATGAAATAGAGAGTAAATGTTTATTGATCCGGTTTGATTATGAATTTTTTTAGATTAAACTAGTTTGTTTGACATAAACAGGATAAACAAGACTAATGATTTGACTTGATCTAATTTAGGCCTAGGTTGTCCCTTCTTTTATTCCAAATTACCTTGGGCTATCTCATTTAATAAATGCAACAATAATGATGTTGCGATACTTCTCGCCATTGGTCATACTTATTGGTGGAATGAGCTTTGGCCATCACCTTCTCATTGAGCCTTGATGGTCACAATTGCCATCACCAACAAGCCATTGTCGCCTTCTCGTCAAGCCTCAAGGTTGTAGTCACCATCACCAATGGGGTAGAAGGTCATCATCGCCTTCCTATTGAATCTCGGTGGTTGCAATCATCGTCGCTAATAAGGCAAAAGGTCACCATTGCCTTCCCACTAATCACCATCATTGTGGTCGTCGACTAACCCAAGGTAATTAGTGGGGCAATCGAGCCATAGTCTAGTCGTCATCAATTGGTCATCGTCATCAGCCACCTTGTTGATCACCGTCATCCTCTACCTTCCTACTTGTTATCGTTGCCATAACCGTCGATTAAGCTTTGATGATCAGCGATCACCATCGCTCTCCTTCCAACTAATCTTTATCATTGTCACCATCGACAAAGCCATCTATTTAGCCTTGATGATTAGTGGGGGCAATGGAACTATAGTCTAGTCATCACCAACATCTTAGGAGGTGGTCATTAACATCCTTGTTCTTGCGGAGCCTCGGTGATCAAAGGTTTGTCATTGTAACCTCATTTAGCTTTGCACAATCTCATTGAATTACTACATGATTGACCATTATATTAATGAAGTATTTATAGTGTCATTGAAGCCTTAACATCATTCTTTGTAGTGTCACTAAAGCGCCAGCTGCATTGGCCTATCGCTTGGAGCATCATCGAATCATTCGTCGCAACATAAAAAAAAATAATATTAGATAAATATATCTTTTTAGTTTGGTATTATTAATAACTTTTGAATGTTATTTAAATATATATTGCTCACGACAACGATGATCCTCTTTCGAATAATATATTTATTTTTCTATATGAGATAAATTGTTTCAATGAAACACTACCTTTGTCGATACCGGAATTAGAAGTTTGGGAAGTAGTCATCCGATACCCAACCAAATTAAATGATCTTCCTCGACACAACTTTAAATATCAAACTTTGTTTTTATAAGGAGTGATAAGTTACAAGATCAAATTGAAGGATCTTTTTCTGCACATCTTTAAACTTAATAACTTTTATTTAAACAAGATATTTGTAATGAATGATAATAAACATAGTTATGAGATATCCGAAGAAGAGTGTGTTGAGCAGAGAATGGTAAAAGGAGTTGAAGAAGACATAGATCGTGATATATTTGATGCCTATGATGTTGTCGGTGAGCTTAGCAAATTTAATCCATATATGTTTAAACACTTCTTGAAGAATAGGGTTATGGAAAAAGTGACTTTAATGAAGATGAAGATGAACTTATCATCAATGAACTCATTGGATAAGTTAGAAATTATGAAATGTATAATGCTTTAGTAGAGAATAATGTATAATGACTTCAACCTTAATGCTTTAACAGAGAATAGTAAAAGAAGTTGAAGGCATAGATCATAATATATTTTATGCTCATGATGTTCTTAGTAAGCTTATCATATTTAATCCATATATGTATGAAAACATCTTGAAGGATAAGGCCATGGAAGAAGATGACTTCAACTTAATGCTTTAAGCTCTCTCTATCCAGATGAAGATGAATTTACCATCAATCAACTATACATTGGACAGGTCAAAAATTACGAAATGTATAATATGTTCATATTAATTTGTTTATGATATTTGATAGATAAGTACTTCACATTTTGTAGGTGTTTAAAGATATTTTAGAGTTTAAAAGAGCTTTGCAAGAATATGTTATAAGGAGTTTTGAAATAAAAATTCAAGTATACGAAAGTTAAAGCTTAAACCACGATATAAGATTGAGCGATGGATGATAATTGCTCAAGGAGGTGATACACATCAAATTACAAAGTTCATTTACGATCACCAATGCAATATACCAAGAGGAAACCGAGATCATCCATTTGCACTAGCAAGTTTATAGTTGAAGAAATAAAAAAATAAGTCCTTACAAATGTACAACATACTCCAAAGTTGATCATTGCATATATTCAAAAAGGATTTATAGTGGTAGTTTCTTATTGAAAAACATATCTAGCACATGAAATTATATTAAGTTTATAGAGACTTTAATGGATCATATAGTGAGTTAATACCTTTCCTACGAGAGCTAAAAATTCACGATCATGAAACGATTATTTGTTTAATGACCATAGAGGATAGACATTTTTGTCAGATATTTTGGGCATTTTGGTGCATATTTGTGAAGTTGTTTCAATACATTCATCTAGTTATCAGCATAAATGTAACACATTTATCTAGAAAGAATTCTGGTGTTTTGATGATAGCGATCACAATTGATGGATCCAATAAGTTATTTCTTGTCGTGTTTGGAGTAGTAAAGATTGAGGGGAGAGAGTCATGTGAATTATTTTGAGTTGAGAAAATGTATTGGTGCACACTATGATTCTTTAAATATCATTAATGATAAAAATTCAAAAATTCTTGTAGTAGTGAAAGAAATATTTCCAAGATCGGTTACTACATTATTCATCTTCCGAAGAATTTATAAGTGAACATACTAAGTTCAAGTTTAACGAATATATGTGAAAACTAATAGAAAATTATCTAGAAAGTTATTATTAAATTTCATAATTAGATATAGAGAAGTGGACGATATACAATATTAACAATAAATGATTCTAAAAACATGAATTTACTATCGACAGATGTCCGTCGACTTCTAATAATTAAATAAGAGGCATCTCATCACTTCGTATTGTGATGAGATGAAGTCTGAAAAATTAAAGAGTGATGAAGTCTGAAAAAATAAATAAGAGGCATCTCATCACTTCCTGGATGAAGTTTTGAACTCTTGGTATTTTATAAATAGATTTGGTGTATCATCGTCCAATCAATATTTTATGTATATAACAATTAATTATTGCAATCTCATCCTTTCATAAATAGATTTGATATCATCTCATATATATATATATATATATATATATATATATATATATCGAACGATATACCATTCGGTGGTATACAATATCGTATCATACCGAACGAATGTCAAAAAAAGAAAGATCAAGTTTGCTATTAATAATCATTAGTATTTTAAAACATCATTACATTCATATGATTCAAGGTCAAATTATTTCTCAAATGGTTCATGATCAATATAAATTGCAAGACATAATACAGATTCTTATTTATATTTTTTTCGTTAGTACATTAATTTCATTTTCATTGTTTAATATCTCTAAACTATGTTATTATAGTTGAATTAAGACATCATGAACCTATTATGTTTCAAATTGTGTAAATGCATATTTTATCTAGTGAAATTTGTTATTTTATTACTAAATAAATTTGTGAAGTAATTTATGTGAATTTTCATGTGGAACTACTATTATGTGATTTTTTTATGCTTCTAGTTTAGAGTAACATTTAATTATTATTTTCTTTTAGTATCTTACAATAATAACAATGATTAATGGTGACGTCCCAACAAGTCGCTATTCTTTTGAAGTATCGGTTATAAAAAATACGAATTTTGTTTATCAAAGTGGACTGATTATAATAACACAATGATTTTACGATAAAATATTTATACTCTTGTATCTTATTACCATTTGTTGTGAAAGTAGAGATGAAATCAAATTTATGTTTCTTCAATCATATATATTATTAAAATTTAAGTGCAAAAAGAAATTTTGATATGCAACCACACCAAAAGGAATCAGACATTGAAGACGTTATAGGATGCCAATCACATGCCTTACAGGATAAAGTTTAATCTTTTTATTGAGTGAATCAATCACATGTCTTTTTCGTCACCAAAACGTGGGAGATGATGATGTCAAATATTTGCTTCAAGATATTCACAAGTCATAACATGTGTAATAATATCCTCTCAGCCATTGATTTGGCTTCTCTTTCAGAGCATGTCTATCTAATGCTTCAAATTCGATTATCATACCGATTGAAACGAACAAATATTTGTCAAGTTGGATGTTAAAATTTAGATCCCTGCTTTTGGACTGATGAGCCAGCTAAATATGAAGCAAACAACCTTTATATGGTAGTCGTCTCCAAGGGACATGCTAGCATAATTGCAAAATCTAAACCAAATCAAACCTCGACTAATATGTATTTCTTCCTACTTAATTTTTTTTATTGTAATAATCAGAACAGGAATAGTTTGTATGATGTAAACCTAAAGTTGTTGGAAATTAGTTCATGTGATCCTGCCAGACTTGCTTTACATTTTACTAGTGTAATAGAAAATAATCACATGCCTCTTTATCTTTTCTCTCCCTATTCCCACCCTAGTAGTA